CCCTTATAGTAGACTTAAACTGGTAGTTGGCTCCACAGGAGAGAAGCCTGATAACTAAAAGTTACTGTCAGGGTTTGGTTGTGGTTTAGAGGACTCAAATACAGAGGCAGAAAGGCTGAGGTGATTTCTGCAGTTTAATTGGTGAAAACAGTTAACAACGGCAGGAATCAAAAATCCAACTTAAAATGTAACACAAAACAGAACCATAGAGACATCAATGGAAAACCATCAGCAACAGGGAACCAACAACGACAGAAGCAGCAACAACAGAGGAACCAACAAGGAGTGACAGCAGAGGGAGTGTATATATGGCTGACTGAGACAAAGGCAGGGCTAATGAGCTGATAAGGAGCAGGTGTGAGTGGAGACAACGAGGGAGCCAAGGGAAAGGAGCACACACAAGAGGGCAACAGAGGACAACAATAGAAAAACATGAGAACTAAAAGAAATCTAGAAACAAAGTAGGAAATAAACCCAAAAAAAATCACACGGATCAAAGTAAAACAGAAAGTAAGACCATGACAGTTATATAGAAAAGGTATAGAACTCATCACACAGTGTCACACCAGATACTCTTTTTAAAGCTATAGTCAATATGTTGAAAACTGGAATTTTTTATGTACATTTTGCTCCAAAAAAAAATATAAATTTCTTGGACTCAGAAAGAGTATAACCTTTTTGAATGGTATGTTTTTGAATTTTGGAAAAGATAATGATAAAAACTCTTGATCACTTAGACTTAGACAAACTTTATTGTCATTCTGTATACACAGAATGCATACAAAACAAAATGACTTTGCCTAACACTTACAACAATTAAATGAACACTACCACTATAAAGTGCAGCAGTCATCAGAATGTAAACAGAGTAGGAGAAATCGAAACCAGTTTAAAAATGATAGTGCATTAATATTGAAAATTTCAGTGGAGTGTAAACTAAATATGGTTCAAAATGCAGTAGAAACAGGGAGAAAAGTCTGAAATCATGCTTTTATACATCTTCCAAAGTTAACTATAGGCATAAATATGATCAAATATTTATTTTGTCACCAGAGAATATCAATTTGTTATGACACCTCTCCCATGTGGGGTCCTCCTATTTTATGTTGTGGGCTTCACTCGTTAGGTGGGCCTACCTGAAGTGCAACCTCTGACTTGTGGAAGGAGGATTTTTTTTAACCTTCAATATTCTTGTACAGGCTTGGTATGAAGCACAGAAGTTAAACCATTTTGCTGAAAAAATGTTATGTTTTAGTAGTTACGTAGATCATCTTTGAGTTATGTTTTCAATAAACCCAAATCAGTTAAGAATTAGCAGTTTATTAATATTTGTATATGTACCATGCTTGCCTTCCACTACTAACAGAGCAGCTCTGCTTCCAAATGTCTGGTGGACTAAAACTAGCAGTACTCAATAAAAACCCTTTGAAACATCGCTAAAACAATCATGTTATAATATGCAATTCTTTAGCCTTAGTTTAGGGTAAAGCAGCTTCTCTCTTCTTTTTAAGATCAGATTTTTGCTTTGAATTTCTATACCAAACCTTGAGTCCTACCATGATTATTATGAAGAAGATTGTCTGTAAACGTTGCCTTATTATCTTAAGTATTGTTTAAAGGTGCATCAGTTGGCATTCAGTCACCAGGAGGAGCCGCAATATAGAGGTTACTGTCATTACATCTATGAAAAAAAGCTGTGTCTCCTCAATCATAGTATTTAAAGTAAGGATGGACTTAATTTATCTCATAACGATAATTATTTTCAAGATAAAAAGAAATAAAATAGAAGCCTCAGAAAAATTAACAATTATTTTGCCATGTTTATCAAACTCCTTAAAGTCGTAGGGAAGTCATATTTAAATGTCAAATCATTCTGGCTTAAACATGTTTATAAATGTACTATATTATATATATTATATATACTATAATGATATTTTCACAAAAGTTAGAAAATTTCTATTTAAAAAAAACAAACATTTTTCATTATCTTATGCAGGCCAGTTAGTTATACGTCAGCTTGTACACCTAAATTCGGCCAATCGTATATCAACGGTCATCTGTCAATCAAATTTCTGCAGTCATAGCATCTTGATTCATATGTTGCAGCTAATATATGCAATGTTTGAAATAAGAAATAAAAATAATTAACTTTCCCATTGAGTTCCGTCCCAGTGTTCATGGGGATGGACGTCTGTGTCTTCGGCAGGCGTAGAGCTAACAGAACTGGCAGCGTTGCGAGGCAAGGGCTCAAACATGTACGGCTGTAAGCCTTCTACACCANGTCATCTGTCAATCAAATTTCTGCAGTCATAGCATCTTGATTCATATGTTGCAGCTAATATATGCAATGTTTGAAATAAGAAATAAAAATAATTAACTTTCCCATTGAGTTCCATCCCAGTGTTCACGGGGATGGACGTCTGTGTCTTCGGCAGGCGTAGAGCTAACAGAACTGGCAGCGTTGCGAGGCAAGGGCTCAAACATGTACGGCTGTAAGCCTTCTACACCAAACCAAGCTTCTGCCGCCCTGGTGCCATCTTCCACATCTTCGTCCCCACTTTCCTCCTCTAAATAAAAAATGTATGACGTAGGAGACTCATCCACGACGCCAATTTAGTGCTACTTGGTCCCAATTTAATTTTTCCATTGGGAACCTACTAGCACTAAGTTGCTAACTGGTTAGTTAACAGCCGTTTCCCTACAACTTTAAATGTAATATTTTATAACTGTTTCCAGAAAAAAAAAAAAAAAAACAATAACACAAAACTACTAAAAACCCAGTGAAGAATTATACAATCACAGACTGTAAAGTGTATTGAAAATATTTATTATGTTCATATGTTTTCTTGTTTGTTTTTTTTTTGTTTTTTTTAGCATTCATCTGTTAAAAAAAATAATTCATTCACTCAAAGATCAGAAATGTCATAGCACTGTTATACAATAAAATTACATTGTGATTTATATTGACATTAAGCTAAAATCTACACCTAATTAAAGATTAAATAAATCTTTTGGAACTTATCTAAAAGACTAATTTAATTCATAACACCGACCAGGATGCATAGAAATCATTAGTTCACCTTTCATTGGACTTTGGTATTTATGCAGTGTCTGAAAAATCCAAGAAGAATCGGGGAGGAAAGCTACTAAAAAATAATAATAAAGAAACATCTGAGCAACAATCTTTTAGTGCAATTCTGAAGCCACAGGCATCTCGGCATGTTTGCTTTGTTGTACCTACAAGCTACTGTCAGGATAGCAGAAGATAGTATTCTGTGTATTTTGCAAAGTTTCCCTTGCTCCCCCCTTAGAGCAAAGAGGCCGGCACTGGCATGGTTCAGTGAGACTCTCTGCATGTGATGATTGCTGTGAGATGTGGCTTTTGAGGGATCATAAATTATGAACAGCTGTGCGCCCATTCTCATAATTTTTACACGACGATTATCATTTTGTGCTCCTTTTATGCCACCAGAAGTGGGGCGGCTGTGGCTTCCATTCTCTCTGCCTGTATGCCTACACGTTTCCTCCCAGTCCAACATTCAACATAATTCCCTTATTTTTTCTCCTACTATAACTCATGCTTTGTTGCTTTAATTTCCAAACAAATGTGGCAGTGAGGCATATTGTCTTGTGTAGAGCATCTAAAAGTTCCCCATCATGCATTTACATTGCATTTCCACTGCATTAATATTGCATCAGTCTGTGCAGCCCTTTCTGTTCCTGTTGGTATAATGTGGAACTGAACATACATATTGTAACACAAAAACCTATTTTTCCTCATCGGTTCACCATTAACGCCCACTGAGTCTTGAAATAGTAACGGAATCTGTTGTATTTCCTTCTTTTTTTTTACAATTCCTCTGTGGGGCAGACCAATAGAGCAATTCTAATTCAATGCTGCTTTAACTGAGTGCATTTAGTGAGATGAAGGACTTCTTCCATGGCTACATCTGCAAGTCGTATCAGATTAAATCAAGCCACCATAGCTCATAAGCTATGTAAGAACTGAACCATACATTCCCGTCACATGTTTCAAATGCAGCATGAAATAATAAGTTTGCAGAGTCCCCCGAGGCATCATCAAACTTCAAACTGTGTTAATAAAAGTGGAGAATCTATTTTGGGCCTCCCTCACGTCCCACTCAACTTCATTTTGACCTTTTATTACAGCGATCAGTGAGTAATCTCCTGACTTCGCCCTGATCCAGGCCTATGGATGCTGCTGCATTGTGTGCTCCAAAATCAATCCGATGAAAGCCAATTGGGTAAAGACTACAGACCATTTTAACAGTCTTTGCAAGAGAGAATCAATCGGCAGCAGTACTGTGTGAGGAAAAAAAAAAATGTAGCTCCTTGATTTCCTGCTTATCCTGTGACTTCATTCCTGCCAAGAAAAAAAAGAGAATACCTCGACCTGTGATTGGGTATCTCCAATAATTAGGCAAAAAAAGTTAGATTTTTTTTTTCAGGATATGAGATAAGATTATAATTGCAGATTATGGCCTTAATCAATCAGAAATTGTGGAAGAAAGAGTGAAATAATGGATGTAATTTTGTTCCCCCCACTGAGATAGCAGCAAAGGCGTCCCGTAGATGCTGTTGCTGCTGCTGCTTCGGAGGCTTTGTTCTCTCTGAGTCGCACCAGATTAGATTGATTACTCTTGGCATGCACAATTTATTTGACTTCATTGTCCTCCCACTCTGTTGTTAGTGTTCATGTCAGAGATGTGCATATTCTGCGTCTTTGCACATGTACAGCCACAATTTGCGGTTCTCTGGAAGTGTGGTGAACAAGTCCGAAGGTTTTATTGATCTGATATATTCTGAGAAAACAGTATATGTTAAGATGTGTGTAAAATGAGATGTACTACATTTTTTTTAAGTCTGCAACCAAAGTGTGCCCAAGAGAGACTGTTTGCATGGATGCTTTTGTCCGTGTGGTTGCGCTTGTGTGTGAATGAGTTTATTTGCATGTTTTTCTCGTGTTTTTGCACATGCAGGGAAGTAACGTGATGGAGGACCAAGATTTAAGAGACATGGGGATCACTGACCCAGGACACAGAAAGAAAATCCTCCATGCAGCACGCAGCTTTCCCAAGGTACTTAACACCACAACACGAGAAATAGACTCAAGTGCTTTAATAGCAGTTGTCAATTAGAGAAAATGAAGCGAAATAAAGGTTTTGATTGCGAATGGATGTAAATGTGATCTTCTTCCCTTCAGCATTAGTCCTTAAAGCGGAAATAATAATTTTCTGCACATAACATACTAATCAGTTTCAGGCTAGAAACTGGCGCGCAAATGAACCTGAAATGCTCATCCATTCATGAATGTATTCATGTCGCTGTATTTAAACAAAGCTTAACTAAGCATTAATTTATCTGCTGAAGGGTTTTGTGCTGAAATCATATTTTTAATGCTTTTATTTTGGTATTCTACTTTTGTTAATTGCTATCTTAAACTTACAATCTAATGTAAATTTCATAGTCATTCATGAGTGGATGAGTGACGCTATGGGTAGATTCAAACATGGCTCTAGGTTGATCCAGATGCTTGAGCTACAGGCAAAAATAAAAAAAAGCTAACATGCCAATTATAAGACATTTAACTTAGAATTTAAGCACTTCATGCATAGAATTAGTTGTGTATTATTGGTAGGATTATAATGTTTATCTGAACAAGACATAAGAAGATACTTCACTTGTTTTTTAAATAGCTTAATGACTGTAGGAAATTCCCTTTACCTGTCGTCCTGTGTTAGAATAACATGGCGGAGAACTGCGTTGGTCTGGTACAAATCAAAGATGACCTCAAACTTTGTCTTTAATAGCTGATTTTAAGTTAATACCACAGCATTTGCTTTCACACACCTCTTTCTGTCTGTAGGTCAAACCTCTAGGTTGTGACGGCAGCACATCTTTAGCCTCTTGGTTGGATGGCCTTGGCCTGCATGAGTATCTCCCCAACTTTCTGTCTAATGGCTACCGCACCCTGGAGTGTGTAAAGAACTTGTGGGAGCTGGAGATTGTCAATGTAAGAATTGCTTAAAAACTACACTTTTAAATGATTTTAAATGTTTATTAATTTAAAGTGATGTTTTTTTTTTTAAGTTCTTTATCATTAAAACTGTTTCTCACAGGCCCAGAAATGCCATGGATTCTGTTTGAGGTTAAGAGGCACTTTATATTGGATTCAGTGAAATTTGCATAAAACAAAAGCTCAGACATTTTTTTTTTAAATCACTGGGTAATTAGTAGATAAAGAACAGATAATGTAAATTAAGGAGAAAAGTGGTGAGTGATGACAAGAAAAGTCTAATTAGGTTTTATCTTTGGGGAAAAAGTGTGACATGTTTTGATCAGCGGTGATTATAAAAGACGAATCAATATGGCATTGGAATGGTTGATTCAGCAGGTTGTGCTTTAGTGCAAATATTAAGTTTGAAAGCAGCTACAGGTTTTCTTAAGGTCTATAAAGTTGTCAAAAATAAAAAGACAAACAAAAAAAATTTACGCTAGCCCTTTGAAACCGATCCGAGAAAACTTCAGACCAAGAATGGATCAGTTAAACATGCCAAGCTTGGTTCTTGCAGCCAAACATGGTTCTTATGACCATTTAAACATCATGCTAGCACGGCATAACTCAGACCTGTTATTGAAGCATGTTGGTCTCAGGCCAGGCTGTCCTCTGCCACAGGTCTTGTTAGGACTATAAGACAGGCTTTTGCAAAAGAGAGATAAGAAAAAAGAAAAGTTCCAAAGAACTTTCGGAATAGGCTAATCATCGTGTGCAGAAAGTGATAGAGTGTTGATGGACAGGATAACACAATAAAAGGAAGAATTGAGTAAAGGACAAAGTCAACCAATAGGTTTGCCAAGTGAGGCTGGGGTGGAAAAAGACCAGAAGAGCTGATGAGTGGAAATATGAAGCAGAGGCAGAATGAAGGCAGGGAAGCTGAGAGAGAAAGACTAATCAACACAAATGCACCTAAGCTGAGACACAAAGATATCAATCAAGAGGAAAAGATAAACATAGATCTGAAAGAAATAAATCACAGTATGAAGAACGAAACACAAAAATAAACTAAGAAACTAAATCCCAAACTATGAAGCAACATGATAGGACCTTAAATGTCAAAACTTAATACAGAAAAGAAACCAAACGAATAAAAATAAACACCTGGAGAACATTACAAACCTTTCAACATTATTTTAAGATTTCTACATTTTTTATATATTCACTTTGCTCAGTAAAAGAACTGAATACAACAGAGTATTAGGGCCAGGCCGAGATTTTTTATTTTTTTTTATTTGAGAATAAAGTCTTAACATTACGAGAATAAAATCGTAACATTGCACGAAAAAAAGTCATAATTTTACGAGAATAAGGTCGTAACATAATGAGAATAAAGTCATTATATTACAAGAAAAAAGTCGTAACATTACAAGAATAAAGTTGTAATATTACAAGAATGAAGTCATCATACAACAACCTGTTTCAGAAAGAAACCTTCGAGCTCTGACCACCATATGAGGCTGACAAGCACCACCAAACAGCAACCTGAGTCCACTTTCATATTCTGCCCAGTATGATGCTGCTGTGGAGATTTCCTTATTTGTCAAACCAGATCCAAAGTATAATTTCACATAACGCTCGACATTCCTCATTTTAGGGAAGACAGTGCTTCTTGTAGGAGTTGTCATAAAATATAACTTTATTCTGTTAATATTACGACTTTATTCTCGTAATTTTATGATTTTTTTCTCGTAATTTTATGATTTTTTTCTCGTAATTTTATG